AACCGCGCTGCCAAGCGAATCGGCGCACTGCGTCTGCCTTGTGCGGACTGTGGTCGTCTGCCATCAGGATGCGCCACCGCCATTGCGGTGGTGATGACGGCTCCTGCAGGTGCTTCTGCAAAAACGCCACAACGTCCTCGAGTCGGTAGGAGCTCTTCTCGGAAGTCGACACGGGCACCCAGGCGCCGTATCCTTTACTGCGGACGTGGGCCTCCAGGGTGGCCTTGATGTTGTCACCCCCCCCCTGAACATGAACTCTGCTGGGGGCGGCCCGTTCTCTTGCAAGTCCTGCGCGTCCGAGGAGACGCGCAGGTTTGCGGTCCACCTGGCCTTGCTGTCGTCGTGTCCCTCGATCAGCGGAACGATGGGCCCCTTGACGGCCAGGGTCTTCGTGGGCGCCGCCCCCGACTCGTTGTGGTGGAACGGGCCCTGGTCCCAGTTGAGGACGCGCGGGTCGTGCCCGAGCAGTTCCTCTGCCGCGGCCCTCACCCTCGCGATGTTCAGTATCATGGTCTCGAAGCGCGAGGCGAGCAGCCGCTTCGAGACTTTGTACTTGCGATTGGGCTTGTGCAAGCTCAGCCCGTAGCCCCCCCGCCACTGGCGCCCCCAGGCGCCCGCGGGCGCTCCCAGGCGCTCACAGGCGCTCCGGGGCGCTCCCTGGCGCCCGGGGGCGTTCCCCAGCGCTCCCAGGCGCTCACAGGCGTTCCCAAGCGCCCCCAAGCGCTTCCAAGCGTTCCAAGCGCTCCCAGGCGCTCCCAGGCGCCCCCAAGCGCCCCCAGGCGCTCCCAAGCGGTCCCAAGCGCTCCCTGGCGCTCCCAGGCGCCCGCAGGCGCTCCCAGGCGCTCCCAGGCGCTCCACGCGCCCCCAAGCGCTCCCAGGCGCTCCCAAGCGCTCCCAAGCAAGCATTCTCAGGCGCTCCCAGGCGCTCCAAGCGCTCCCAGGCGCTCCCAAGCGCTGCCAAGCGCTCCGAAGCGCTCCCGGGTTGCGAGCGCCTGGGAGCACTTGGCAGTTGCGAGGGGGCGCCAAGCCCGCACCCTCGCGCTCCCCCTCCGCGCCGGCGCTCCCGGGCGCTCCCAGGCGCTCCCAGGCGCTCCCAGGCGCCCCCTGGCGCCCGGGAGCGTTCCCCGGCGCTCCCAGGCGCTCGCAGGCGTTCCCAAGCGCTCCCACGCGCTTCCAAGCGTTCCAAGCGCTCCCAAGCGCTCCCACGCGGTCGCAGGCGCTCCCAAGCGCTCCCAAGCGTTCCCAAGCGCTCCTAGCTGGGCGTTGCCAAGCGCTTTCAAGCGCCACCAGGCGCTGCCAAGCGCTCCCAAGCGCCCCCAAGCCCTGAGGGGGAGGGCGGGGTTCGCATGTGGCCCCCCACAGGGCTTGGACCTCGCCGCCGACCTCTGCCCGCGCCAGCAGGGCCGGCCACCCTGCGGCCGCCGAGCCGGCCACCGCGGCCCCGCGCCCCGACCGCGCCGGAGGACGCCGGCGGGCAGGGCCCACGAGCCGCGCCTGTCCAGCGAAACTCGGCTGCACGAAAGAGTGACCCTAGGCCCTAGGCAAGAGTTTAAGTCGAGCCTGTCCCTCTACAGGAGGAGCATTCAAACATGGCAGAAAAATTCGCCGGCCCAACGGGCCAGAGGCGTGCTAAGATCACCGGTAACTGGTAAACAGTAACTATTTCTAGTTCGCGCGCGCGAGAAACTGAATGCGCGAGCTTCCGCGTCCGCCGCGACGACCTTGCTCGCGACTTGGCGGCCCGTTCTGCTCGTCGGCGGTCTTGGCGGCCACCGTGCTGAGTGCCCCATTTGTGGCAGATGGGGGTATTGATGTCCGTGTTCTGCGTGCTGAACGGCCGCGGCGCGGGCTGCGCGCGCGCGCGCAAGCAGTCGGCGCCCCCCAAAGGTTGCCCCCGCTTCGGCAACGCCGCCATCAGCGCGCGGCCGACGTCGCGGGGGGCGCCCAGGTTCGCGAGGGCGCCGATGGCGCCGCGAGATCGCAGCCAAGCGCGACGCGGCAAACCATCGGGGCCCAGGGCGGAATCGCCCGCTAGACGAGCAGCGCGTAGCAAGTCGCCTTTGCCAGGCACGGGGAAGGTCCAGAATGGTCTTCCGCGGGGAGGCGCCGCCGAAGTAGCCCGCGACGGCGCTCTCGGGAACGGCCTCAGCTAGGAAAACTCGGGCCCAGTGGCCGACGATGGCCGCGCGCGTCTGGATTGGCTCTGCGCTGAAGGGCCGGCGGCTGCCAGCGGCGATCTTGCTGCCGGCCGGCGAGGGCCAGGCGACGGCGGCGCGGTTTCCGCGGCTTGCCCCCGCGGCCTTCAAGACGAGCTCGTCGTCTCCAACGATCGCCGAAAACTGCGCGGCGCCGAGCGCGCGTTGCACGAGAGCGCGCGACAGTTCTGGGGCGGCGTTCCTCGCCGAGGCCCGCGCGGATAGAGTCTGCCTCGTTGACGTGGGCGGTCGCGTCACCCCGCGTGGTCGCGCTGTCCTCTAATAGAGGAGGCTCGCTGCCAATCTCGGCGCGCGCAATCGGCCCCTTGGCCAGGGCGGCGTCTCGGCGCCAGGTCGCGCGCGCAATGTCGCGGAAGGTCGCGCCGCGAACCTCCTTCGAGATGTCGCCGCGCTGGCTGGTGATTTCTGCATTGGGGGTGGCAGTCGTGGCGCCGCTGGAATTCAGAGAAATTTCATGCGTCGTGGTTTTCGTTGAGCGCCACTGGTCAACCGGCGAGAGATGGCGGATCGGGCGGGCGTCGGCGGTCTCCTCGCAGCGGCGCGGGCATGGCCCATAATCGACAGCGAAGGCAGGGGCGGCGCGCTCGCTCTGCGGCCGTTGGCAGGCTGGGCGGATTCGCAGCTGCGTGACTTTGCGGCCGCTGATCATGGCATCGGGGCCTCCCAGAGGAGCGCCATCAGCATTGGGCACCGACTCCTCCGCCAGCGGCATGGGGCGGGGGGCAGGGGGGCGAAGCAGCGGTCGATCGACGGCCCCGTCGCGCCCGCGACGCAGCGGCGCGCGGTCGAGTGGGCGGCGGCCTCGAACGTGTTCTGGAATCGGCTCTTCCAGAAGACTGGCTGGCGCTAGCAGCGCCAGCGCTGCGTCTCGGTCGCGGTGGAGTCGACGGGCGCGCCGAGGCCCTTGGGCGGGATCTCGGAGATGTTGAAGCAGCCAGGCGTTGCAAACATCCGCTTCGTCGGGTCGGGGGCTGCGCGGGGGCGCAGCTGTGGCCAGCGGCGCCGGGTGGCTTCGCAAACTGTCGAAGAAAGACCGTGATTGTATGTTCCGCACTGTAACGTCGCACGATATGGTGATGTCCGTGGTTCTGAGCCGCGGGGTCAGAGCGTCTGAGAAGCCGGGCTCGACAACGGCGCGCCTGTCTCGCTGGCGCGGGCCATTGATGCCGCGTCGCACAGCGGCGGTGGCCCACTGCAGAAGTGCAGGCTCTCACTCTGGTACGCGATGTGTCCCTGAGCAAGGGGCGATCCTTGATGAGCATGGCCATGCGCTTGATCGGAACCTCTCTGTGCACCGAGCGCGGGCTTTTGTCCGCCGACGCGCAGAGATCAACAGCAGGAGAGCCAGCAATGAAGATCTGGCAAACGCGCCACTGACGTCCGACGTGCTAGGCTTCGCGGAGCCTGCGACCGCGCGGTTCTGCCACAACCGTGCCGCCCATGAAATTGAAGCGGCGGCGCTTGACGGAACCCGTCGTGTTAAAAGAGATGCGCTCGCCGCTGACCTGCGCCGCCTTGAACCACTCGTCCAGGGCGGTCTCGAGGTCGTCGGTGCCGAAGTCGGTGGCGCAACCGCACCAGGAGGCGCAGGGGTCAGCCGGGTGGTCCCAAGTGCCCATGGCGTCCAAGTTGAGGTTGGGCTGGCGGGCCTCGGTATCATCCGCGAAGCGTTGGATCTTCTCGACAGACGCACGGAACTCTCGCGTGGCGGCCTCAGTCTTGGCAGCCCGGACGGAGGCTTCATGAAGGTCACGTTCGGTCCGTTCGTATTTCGTGTTGAAGTCGGTGGCAGTGGCTGTGACCGAGTCGAGAAACTGCAGACGGGTTGCCTCCGTGACGGACTCAGCGGTGGTTTCGAATTCTGTGGCATCGATTTCGACCTGGCAGCGAGGGTGGTTTCCAACTGTTGACGTAGGTGAGCAGGCATCTCCTGCGCGGGCAACTTAGAGGCAATGTTGGTCCGGGGGTCCACTTCATTGGCATTGCGTTTTCCGTCAGAGGTCCTGTCGTCGCTGGCTGGCACAACGTTGACTCGCAATCGTCCGCAAAAATAAAAGCCCGCGCGAGCCTCAGTATGAATTCGCGCTTGATATGCAAATATGGAGGTCAACACTGAGGACACGGCGAGGCAAAAGGATGTCCTTAGCTGGCCCCGGACTAAAGACCCCCGTGCTTTGTCACGGGGCGAAATCATAGTGAACCAAAATGGATGGCTGCGGAAGAAATAATGATGATGAAGCGGAGGAACGGGGAAGGAGGGAAAAAAACGGGGACACAACCAAGGCACAACAAACGTTGCACATGTTGCTTGTATCGTCATTTCATCTCCCCCAACAGCAGTCGACGTACAACACATACTCACCCGTATCATCGGTATCCTGCTACCCATTTTCGTCCCTCTCCTCCTCCTCCTCCTCCTCCTCATCCGCCTCCTCCTCCTGCTCCTCTTCCTCCTCCTCCTCCTCCTCCTCCTTTTCCTCCTCCTCCTCCTCCTCCTCCTCCGTGCCCTCCTTGGATCCGACGAGTGCGCAGAACGGTGCTGCGCGTACGCTGCTCAGCCTCCCGCCGGGGAGCGGGAGCGCGCACAAACTCCGCGGGGCCCAGAGGTTGCCTTAGGTCGGGCATGTCCTCCTGCAGGCGGATTTGGGAAGACAAATAAAACAGTACAACACATATAAAAACAGACAAATGAATTCCGAACTCGTTCCCAAACTATTGTTCATACTATGTTTGAATCTTATCCCTGCAGAGGGACTTGCCCGACTTAAAGGTTGCCCTGGTGACCTCCTTCGTCTCGACGTCCACCTTCTCTATCCTCAGGCCCTTAACCACCTCTGCCAGCGCGAGCTTCGACACCTCACTGCTGGGCCCCAGCAGCTTCGCCTTCTGTGCGCAGCCGATGTCGATAGAGACGCCGGCCTTCTCCACGAGCGGCGAATGCGTTCATACCCACACCCTCGCGGCCTGGATTCTGGGCGCGATCCCGGGGGTGCGCGGTCGCGTGCATACGCTCCGCGCGAGACGTCCGCGAGGAAACGCCCCGCACGCGCGGGGCCGCGGCCCAGGGGCCCGGCCCGCGAGGCCGTGGCTACGGACATGCTTCCCGCGCGCGGCCTTCCCTCGGAAGGCGACTCGGCCGTCGACCAGGTCGCCCTCCTGGAACTCCCCGAGCAGCCTCGGCCTAGGCAGCCCCTCGACGGACACGCGGAGGGTGCCGGCTCCTTCGGCTGCACGCAGGAGTGACCCTGGGCAAGAGGTGACCTTTGGTGCGCGGCCCGCGGGGGGGGGCCCTTTGTGGACACCGCCAGGCGCGCAAGCCGCTGCTCTCGTATCGCATTCCACGAGCGACGACGGGTCCCGTTGGGCCCGCGCCAGAGGTCACTCCGGCGAAAGATCACTCTTGCGTGTAGCCGACTCCTGCGTCCACCTCCTCCACGGTAGCATTCACGGCCTGCCCGGTCTCGAGCTCCAGGAGCTGCGCCATCAGCGGAGCGAGCACCGACGCCGCCCTCTCGCAGCCGAGGTCGATAAAGGCCCCGGCCCTCGACTTGTGGGCGACCACGCCCGCCAACGTCTCCCCCCTGTTCAGCTCCGCCAGCCTCAGCACGGGGGAAAGCGGGTCCTGAGGGAAATGGGTCCTGGACCCGTGGCCCTTCCTTCAGTATCCTGAGCAGCTTCAAGCCCGTGGAGGGCCCCAGGACCCCGAAAACTGAGGAAACCTTTGGACCCTCTTCCCTCAGGATGCGCGCTCCACTATTCGCAGAGCCACTACTCGCAAGTGGCCTGGATCCGCCGTGGGGGACTTACGATATAACTATATATATATATACTAGAACCATCGCGCGCGCTTCGCGCGCGCTCAGGTTCTAGCAGGCCCCGATTCATTGCTACACGGGGCGGAGGCCGTATGAATCGGGTTCCCAGAAGGCCTTCTGGGAGCATGGGTTTGGGGGCGTCTTGGGGAGCCTGTTGGGGCGTGCCGTCGTCGTCGTCGTCGTCGTCGTCGTCGTCGTCGTCGTCGTCGTCGTAATGTCGTCGTCGCCTATTGGGGCGCGCCGTCGTCGTCGTCGTCGTCGTCGTCGTCGTCGTCGTCGTCGTCGTCGTCGTCGTCGTCGTCGTCGTTATCGTCGTCGTCGTCTTCGTCGTTTCGTCGTCGTCGTCGGTTCAAGAGGGCACTTGGGGCAACTTTGTGCGAAACGATCTGCGGAGGGCCGCGAGAAGGCGATCAATCATGTTCCCAATCAACTTCCCAGACAGCTCTCCTGTAGCATGATGGTACTTCGAAGCCTCCGGAGACTCTCGGGCCCATGATGAACCGTGTCGCTGGAAGGCTTTCTGGGGACATGGTTTGTTGGGGTGTGTTGGGGGGTCTCTTGGGCGTTCCCTGGGGGCCCAATGGGAGCCTCCAGGAACTCTCGGGCCCATGATGAAGAACCATGTCCCCGGAAGGTTTTCTGGAGACATGATTTCTTGGGGTGTGTTGGGGGGCCTCTTGGGCGTTCCCTGGGAGCCCCTTGAGGGTCTCTTGGGGCTTCCTGGGGGCCGCTTGGGTCACGGGGCTTCCAGGGAGCCTCTTGGTGGCCTCCGGGGGCCTACAGGCGGCCTCTAGGGCCAGAGACATAGAAATATCGATTGGCGGTCCCCCTCTGGGCCCTCTCCTGGGGAGCTCTTGGGGCACAGTTGGGTTGTCTGGGGAGCCTCCTGGGCCGTCTTGGGGCCCTCGTCGGGGCCTCGTGGCCCGTCTTGGAGCGATCTGAAGGGCCTCCGAGCGAGGCCGTGAGGGAGCGCTGGGAAGCGGGGGAAGCGAGAACGCCTAAATCCTTCAAAAACCATCCGAAAATTAGTGAATCTTGCCTCCCAGGGCCCTCTTGGGGAGCCTCTTGAGTCCTTCCTAGAGCGTGTTGGAGTCCTCGTCGGCCGTCTTGAGGGCATCTTGGGCGTCTTCGGGGCCTCTTGGGACAATCTAGGGCCCTCTCGAGACCTCCATTAGCCTGTCGTGGCCTGCTTCGGGGCGGGCCCAGGCCGCCTCGGGACCCCTCTGAGCTTTCTCTCGGCGCGCTCTTGGGGCACAGTTGGGTTGTCTGGGGAGCCTCCTGGGCCGTCTTGGGGCCCTCGTCGGGGCCTCGTGGGCCTTCTTGGAGCGATCTGAAGGGCCTCCCAGGCCGTGAGGGACGCTGGAAAGCA